CGATGACGCGAAGAAGCAAGTTCGCGTGTAGGCTGGCCAGGATGAAGCTGCCGAGTCGGGATGAATCGGACAGCGAGGGCGATGGGGTGATGCTCGAAGCATGCATATGTGGGGCAACTGCATTTGTTCGCAGTTTGCAGTTCGCATCGACAGGTGAACTAGGGAGTGTGAGGAGTGCGGGCCTGTCTCGGCGCTGCTGCATCCCGGGCTCGTCGGAAGGGCCGGCGTACATGCATGTGGGAGATTCGTACACCGCTGCTGTGCTCGGAGCTAACCGCGTAGAGCTCGCTCGAGCGGTCAATTTCCCAGCCATTCCCACATCGTCACAACAGCCAAGAAGAGCGCCTGCCTGCAAGCCCTGCCAGCCCTGCCAGCCCAACTCGCCGGTCTGCTGTGCACTACCGTCGGCGTCCCTCATCCACCCGCAAAATCTTGATCGAAAATAGTTCGGTGTGACGCCGACAGCTGCCGACGGAATGCCCAGTCGTTCTTCTCTGCCACCCTTGCATGAGCGGCAGCGGCAAGCAGCAGCTCTTCCTCTCAGCTGTGACGCTGTCGGTGCTGAGACGCTGTCGAAGCCGTGGTGACAGCGCCAGTGCTGCCGCTGTTGCTCCTCCCTTTTCTGCACGACTTACGACGATGGTGGGGATTTTGGGGGGATTTTCCGATTTCTTCCCCGCTCCCTCGCGGCATCCGAAGCGAGACAGAGAGACAAAGAGCTTGCCGAAGCTGGCAGTGAGGACGCCTGTGTTGCCACGGCCGTTTCCGCGTGGGGTTCAAAGTCTCCGATTCAATCAATCCAAGTCCATCCAGCAACGCTCCTCCACCTCGACCTGCAGCTAGCCAGCCAACCAGCCAAACGAGCCGAGCGTCCAGCCAACCACGCGAGGCGCTTTGGTCAACTTCCTTGTCCTCACCCTCCCGCTGTACATGCTCTTCCCGCTCGTCCACATTATCCCATCCTTCCGACCATCTCACGACCATCTCACGACCATCCAAGCTTGCGCTGGAGCACATCTGTCCCTTGCCTTGTAGCCGCTTCTTTGACACCGCGAAGGTCGCCATTATCCTCTCCTGCTCCGAATCCCCATTCAGCCAGTCATCGTTGACTGACAAGAGTCTACGACAGTGACCGCCTAGTACGACAAAAGCTCGGAGCACATCGCACCGCATGCAATCCTGACACCAGCCGGTCCACCTCAATATGTCGCCGGGTCCATCTCCCGCCTCCTTCACGTCGGGGCCCGCATCCTCGCCTTCGGCGTCGACCAAAAGAGACCGCTCCAACACCACAGAGGAGATCGCTGCGCGGGCACACGCCGATCGCGCTCAGAAGCGCACAAGGGTCCGACAAGCCTGCAACCGTTGCAAGGCGCGCAAGATCAAATGCGGCGATCTCAGGCCTTGCAAGAACTGCACCAGCCTCGGCCTCGTCTGCCGTGATTGGCGTCCGGGCGAGGATCCCAGCGACCATGCCACCTACATCAATCCAGCAGGCCGCTCCTCTTCCGCAGCCATCGACCCGCTCAACGAGCAAGACGCTTGGGCCGCACCAGAATACCCCCTCAGGATGCACGACCATCCCACCAGACATCCAAGTGCCGATCACGCCAACATCTCCGCCGACATCGATGCAAGGGCTCAAAGGTCCGGCTCAGCCATCCCCTGGCCCAACACTCCCTATGAGCGCTCTCGCCACACCGTCGCCTGGCCTCCCAAACCAGATCCAAAGCGTCACAGGTATCTCGCCTATCCTTACGACTCGATCTACCGCAACGAGTTCGGCCATCTCAAGGCACTCTCTCTGTCCTCAGGCCTCGGCACTCTCTCCTACCTGCACGAATACCACAAGCTCGCAAACGAGCAGTTCCTCGACGCCCTCTGGCAGGTCCTCGAGGGTGAGAACCAGGACGGCGTCAACATGCAGATGTTCGCATTGGAGAACGAGTCGTTCTCACCCCATTCTCACGCCAGCCATCCCAGCTCCGGTCTCGGCGCTCCGACCGGCGCCTTCTCCGACTCCCTCGCCGCCGACTGGTCTCTTGGAGGCGCTCCCTCCCTCAACGTCCCCTTCACCTTCGATGCTGCCGCAGGACCGACTCCCGAACGCATCCCGTCCATGCAGATTCCGACAAAGAGCACGCTCTCCATCGCCAGCACATCCTCCGCAGAAACTTCGCCGGCAAATCCACAGCCACTCACTCAAGACACGCGCCGCAATCGCTCTCAGAGCCACACCGTCGTCTCCACAGTCACAAAGGACACCAATGGCGCACAGACCGAACAGAGTCGGCCAGCCACCACCTACCTGGAAGCCGGCCCACCACCCGAGGATCTGTGGGCTTTCATGGGATCCAAGATCCCCCAGCAGCATCGACGTTCGCTCCTGCATACCTTCCTCTCAACCACCTACGTCCTCTGGCCCACGTTCATCCTTTCCGAGTTCCTCGCCTCGCTCAAAGACGAGCGCGAACGCCAGAATCCCACCTTTGTCTGCCTCGTCATCGCCTGCTGCGCCGTTGCCGCTCGTCAAGAGGCCGGCAGCTCAAAGGGTGGCCATGCAGCCGAATGGGGCCGCAACTTCGGCTTCTTCGAGCTCTACCTCGACATTCGCAGGCTCGCCCCACGCAACACAGACTGGGCAAGCCTCAACCACATCCAGGCCCTCTTCTACCTCTCCCACTACTGCTTCGGTGCCTCTGGGCCTTTCGGAGTGACAAGGGCGCACTATCTCATGAACGGCTGCGTGTCGAAATGCTTCGACGTCGGACTCCACAGATCCGCCGAAACCTACACGGACGCGTTTACAAGATCCGAGATCGAAGCACGTCGACGCACGCTCTGGGCCATCTACTGTGGCGACAAGATCTCGGCGGCCTACGGACGACCCGTGATGCTCCGACTCTCCGACATTGATGTCCCGGAGATTGATGTCGATTCGGACGAATACACCGAGAGGCTACCGGCTGCCACGTCCTTCGACCGCGCATGCACGCTTCGGCCCTGGCACCGAGCGGCTATCCGCCTCTTTTGCGTCTTGGAGCGAGTCATCGACAAGATCAACCTTCCAGCGTGCAGCTCATCGGCAGCTCTGGAGCGCGTCATGCGCAAGAAGCCAAAACGCCCGAGGCAGTCCGAAAACCACGACGACAGCTGCATGGCCGACCACGAAGCTATCGGATTCGAGGAGGAGCTGGAGTTGGTTGATGATTTCCATTACGCTGATTGTCCCAAGCCGACCACAGCGCATGAGGATGATTCAATGTACCAGGCGCACGTGGAGAGGCTGCGCACCACCGCAGCCTTCATCAAGATTTTCATATATCGCCATCTCTTCTGCATGGCCAACACGAATCTGTCGCGCCAGCCTCCGCGAACCGACTATCGGGACGAGATGGTCAAATGGTGCCGCGAGCTCCTACTCTCGCAACGCAAGATGATCCAGCGCGGCGACTACACCGACTTTGGCTCGGTCATGTCTTATCAACTCAGCCAGACTGGACGCGGTCTCATCCCGGCCATCTACATCACCTCGCGCTTGATGGACCCATCGCAAGATCCCAACTCGAGCGCGATCCTCAAAGAGGCGCAAGAGCTTCTCGTGCTGGCCTACGACCTGCTTCGGCAACTCTCAAACCGATTCACGGCTTCAAATCGTCAACTGCAGATCATGCAGTCTGCCTTCCGTCGCCTGGATCTGAGTCTCCGAAAGCGTCACCACAAGACTGGACCCACCGCCTCGCACGAGGCATCGACTCACACGGGCTTGACGGAGCATGCAGGAGCGCCCGGTGCGGCTGTGCGCGCATCGGCCGAGAGGGAGATGACGAGTGGACTCGACTTGATCGCTGGCGTCGCAGGCGCAGAGTTGCTCGGCGCAGAGGCGCTTGGCGAGTCGACAGCGAGCAACGAGGAGGAGGACGATTTCGAGGATGATCTCGACCGAGACAAGAAGCCAGGATGTAAGTCTCTCGTTCGTTTTCCGTTCTATACATGCACAGAACCTGACCCCCATCTCGTCGTCGCGCACTTCATACAGGGATCTCGGATCTGCCGATCAACCAACCGGCAGAAAAGACGGCGCCGCATCCGGTCGGCGCATTCGTGGGCTGGCCACCGGCTCCGGGCTCCGGAATGCCTCCTCGAGACGAGTAACGCTTGTCGCTTGGCGATCAAATCTTTGACGAGGGGGGGGTCCAGATTGCGGCGCGTTGCAACTCAGAGCAGCGGGCCATCGACGCATCAGGGCTGCTCTGGGTGACTAGCCGTGTGTCCAGCCAAACATCCTGGTGGTCGCCGATGTGTCGCTCACGCCCTCTTCCAGCTTCAATGCGCCTCGATTGTCCCACACCAATGCAGATGCACACGTTGATGCTGCATGCCATTCAAAATCACTCGCAT